TCACTGAACACGCACATTAAAACGCGAAATTGATAACAAGCAAATAGAACAGCAATCAAATATCCAGAAAAACTAATAGCACCTACTGTTACCACTACAATAACTGCAATTATTTGATAAATAAGCAAACAAAAATATTTCACTCCTGCCTTGTTGATATTGTTAACGGGAACAATTAGTGGTAATTGTTTTCCGTCCCATATTCCCAAAAAATAAAGACATACTTTTACAACGCACGGAGCTATTATTGAAATACTATATCCATTGAAAAGACCTAAAAGAACATAAGTTTCTATAAAACTATAATAATATCTATGTCAGTATGGTTTCGTGTCTAAAGACTTTACTTAGCAGACTGTCACTTTCGCAAACTTGGCGAGTATTTAAACCCAGAATTATAATAAATACAAATTTTTATTTAACAACAGCAATTTATGTCCGTGAATTTTGGGATTACGATTAATAATAATGATAAGATAAAAATAAATTGCCAAAATTGCTTGGTTCTTACTGCACGACAAAGTGTCAATACTTTCTTTAATTATTAAGGAATAATAAAACAATGCAATACCATATCGATCTAATATTAACAATTATTATTATATTTTAGCTTACCAAAAACTGTGTATGCATATAATTTACTTTGTTTTATATTATTTTCTAATAAAATTAATTCCTCCTCATTCGAAACCTGTTCAGAAAAAGCTTTACAATTGGAAAATAGTAGCTTCATCTAAAAATAAAATAAATTTGTTAACAATAACTCAATGATATTATTACCATGCTGATTTAAAACGAATACACTAACTGTTACAAAATTAAAGTAGGTATTGCTGTAGGCTAAGAGAAGAACAACAATTGTCATAAATTTTTGAAGAGTTCCAACTGTAGATTGCAGTAATACTTCTGATGTAAAAAGTTGATAAAACTAATAATCAAAAAAAAAAAAAAGCCTTTAAAAATAATATTTTTATTTATATATATATATATAAAATATACTTATTATATTTTCTAAACATGACTTGTATTTACAGAAAAAATTTTTATTAATTTTGAAACAACGAATTTAAAAACTGTTATAATAAATAGATTATAATACATATTAAGTTTAGGAAATTACACATACTTGATGTACCAGTCCAGGAAATACGTAAAATGTTATTCCACAAACTAAAAACAATTGAAAATTCTGAGACTGATCGGGACGGACACCCAATACTGACTGCACGAACTTATTCGAAAAAAAAAAATGTTCATTGAACATACGACCACCAGAAGACATTGTGAACTAACTCATAGTTTTCCAAACAAAATAATAAATACACATTTAATTTCCCCTACTATCTCATCGGATATTCTAATTCCTACCTATTAAAAATATAAGAACAAAATAAAAAACAATGACATCAAAATAATACAATAACAATATAATCAATACAACAAGCTAGGGAGAAGTTCCAATCCTTTATAGTTTTATAAGTTTTCACCTGTTCGAATAAGATAATTACTATTTTGTGTATTTTGGCACATGCTTTTTCTCAACAATTATGCGAGGGTAGAATTTTCTTCTACTTTTTATGTTTAGAGACATGCGCAAAAGATTTTATTGATTTCAACTTCGGTCAGTTGGTCTCCGACAACGGTGCGGAACACTTGTTCATTTATTAGCAACAACATTGTTATAGTGATTAGAAAAGAGTACCAATCTTGTATGACTATAAAGTCTGCTAATGTCGTATAGAAATTTTCATAATTTTCTGAGAACCTTTAGGTATTTATTTGAACATAAGCCAACGTAGATTTTAGTATAATTTGAAAATTAAAAAATGATGTGTATGTTACATTTGAAGAACGACTAAATGTATATATTATAATATTACTGTATGCATTTATTAATAATTTTAATGTGACTACAATCGTACTTTCTCTAAACAAAAAGTACGATTTATTTCATGCTGAGTAATTTTAATCTTCAGTTAAACACACACAGCATTCGAAATAATTTATTAATGATTTAAATACAGATTTTTAAATTATACATAATTATAGTAAACCATTGCAAAAGAGAATGCTTTCCGCATTAACTGAAAAAAATATATTTCTTGTTTAAACGAGAGATATATTAATAAATATTCGGTTATTGTTACTTACAGCTACAAACGATTCATGGGAGGACACAAACATACCACCAATCGAAAGCATGCTTGGCTTACAGCTTCTAATAATCATAAATAATAGACTTTTTTGAGATTTCTTAGAAAGAATGTAAAATGGTACTTGACACCTAAAAAACAAATAAGATTACTTCTTGAACAAATAAGTAATTATTTACGTAATGGTTAAATTAGAAATTTATTTTCTTCATTGCATATTGATTTTGCTATAAAAATTATTTGTTTGCATTTTATATAAATTAAAGGTGAATAAAAACTTCGTAATATCTTACAATTCTTCGAAAACTACATCGCTATAATTCA